GGTTTCAACACGAGTATGAAAAAATTACTTCCCAAGCAGGAGCTAGCAGAGGTTGGGCCTTTGGCTACCACACAGCTGACCTTACAGTGGCCAGCACGAGGCTGGACACAGAGGGCATCAGTGACGACCTACTGACCGCACTACTCAAGCTGCCGGCTACGCTGCCAAGCAGCAGCAGATTCACCTTTCCCTGAAGCCCGTTCTAGTTGCACTGTTCAGCCAGCAGAGAAAAGAGGTGACTGGATTGAGACCCCCGTCCCCACCCCCACACTCCTCAACCGTCTTTCCCATTTGGTAACTATGGCAGCTTCTAAAGTACAGGAATATTCTCCCAGACTTGACCGTGCAGCGGACTCAGCTGGAGTGACTTACAAACAGTTCCGATTATGGTGTCAGGAATATGCTTTCCTGTCAGCCCAGCGCTGACCCTGCTGATCTTTGGCAACTGTTGCTCTAGGGCATGAATGCATTGATGGTCTCCCTGACCTTTGCCATAGGCAAGACTTTAAGGTCAAGAAGGAACATTGACCCATGCAGTTCTAACACTTTTACCCTAAAACTGTTTTTCCTTTTTTTTTTTTTTTAAAGATTTATTTATTTATTCGAAAGAGAGAGAAAGAGAGAAAGAGAGAGAGAGAGAGAGGTCTTCCATCTGCTGGTTCACTCCCCATGTGGCCACAATGGCCAGGGCTGGGCAATCTGAAGCCAGGAGCTAGAAGCTTCTTCCAGGTCTCCCATGCCGGTACAGGGACCCGAGGACTTGGGCCATCTTCTGCCTTCCCAGGCCATAGCAGAGAGCTGGATTGGAAGTGGAGCAGCTTGGACTCGAACCAGCACCTATATGGGATGTTCGCACTGCAGGCAGTGGCTTTACCTGCTACACCACAGTGCCAGCCTCGCTTTGGGTTTTTTTTTTTTAGCAATCTATCCATTGCTAAAAATGTAGTATTAAAGACCATACTATCGATTTTGAATTTTTCTTATCCTTTTGTATATTTCCCAAAGTGTCAACAGTTGCAAAATTTCCCTGGAGAAAATGAACCCTTTGTCAACATGTCATTTTCATATTCACTCAGCAGTTATTTTCTGAGTGCCTCCTTTGGGGGTAGCACTGTAGTTGGGGGAACCAATCTAGTCTGGCTTCCATTAGCTTCTCCACCATTACCTGCTGTTGAGTTATTCTAGGTCCTCGGAAAAGAAATCACCAGGTAGGACGAACCATGCAGGGATTAAAGCCTGATGGGTCCACTTCAGCATCTCTGCTATGCTCATTGGCTGAGAGCAACTCTGGGGAGAATGGCTTCAGAGTGAACAGAGTGATGGATTTCAGAACACAGAGTTGAGACACTGGTCAGTAACACTCCTCCCCACAACTGGAGGTCGGAGGCATATTTTCATGTCCTCTATCTTTCAGACTTATTTCTCCGTAGTTCCCATGGGCCTCTCTATCTAGGGGAAAAACTGGAGAGGGAGATCAGTGGGATAAACTAGCATTCATCACTCTAATTGTCTCAGAGCTGAATATTCACCCTGTGCTTCCTCCACTCTTATCCACTCTTATCCTCAGCCAGCATCCCCAAAGCTGTGGTGGCTTACCAGGCGATGCGACCCAGACCTTCACCCCGGAGTTGGCAGTGGTCTAAACTCCTGGTCACCATACCATCCTCAGTGTACATGTCTGTTCAACTAGAAAAGAGCAGAGCACCAGCAGACCCTGAAGTGGACTACCTAGACATTTCTTCCTCCCACTATGTGAAACGTCCTATGTCTTATCAGGGTTTATGACTTGACAATATGATGACTTATCATCTATGATCACTGGGAATAGCAAGCCTACAGGTCCCTAGTGGCAGCTATAACTTGTATTTCAGTAAGCCCTTTTGTGCCACTTGGACCCAGAACCATGCAGGGTCCAGAATGCAGGATTGGGAAGCACAGCCATGTGGGTCCTGGGATTAACAGACATAGCTGTTTTTCCACATTAGTTCCTAGATTAGTTCCATGTATTCTTCCCACTATGGACACAGCACAATACAGAGGACACTTTAACATCGCATCCTGAAGAATAACACCTCTGCTTTCAAACCACTGCTTAGTGCTTCAGCTGTACCTTTTGAGGGTCACAACTAGGATTCCATTAGCTGGCTCCTCCTGAACGGTGCGGTAGTTTTCTGCACTCCCTCCACTGTTAAGCTATCGATCAATTATGCTGTGTGGCAATCTGGGCCTCCATCAGTTATTCCACAGGCAGAGGCCCTGAAAGGCAAACCCACATCCATAACATGCAGACTATCCTTGGAGGAGGAAGTGCTGGTCTTTGTAGAAGGAAGGGGCCCTGTGATTTTTTTTTTTTTTTTTTTTTTTTTTTTTTTTGACAGGCAGAGTGGACAGTGAGAGAGAGAGACAGAGAGAGAAAGGTCTTCCTTTGCCGTTGGTTCACCCTCCAATGGCCGCCGCTGCAGCCGGCGCACCGCGCTGATCCTGGCAGGAGCCAGGAGCCAGGTGCTTTTCCTGGTCTCCCATGGGGTGCAGGGCCCAAGCACCTGGGCCATCCTCCACTGCACTCCCTGGCCATAGCAGAGAGCTGGCCTGGAAGAGGGGCAACCGGAACAGAATCCGGCGCCCCAACCGGGACTAGAACCCGGTGTGCCGGCGCCGCAAGGTGGAGGATTAGCCTATTGAGCCACGGCGCCGGCTCAGGGGCCCTGTGATTTGCCACCATGTGGCTGCTTGGTCTTCTTGAGAAAGGGTGTACACCTGAGACAGGATTAGTCCCTGGTGCTGACACACTGGTATTCAAAGTCAGCGCTTTAGTGAGTGGGAGGGAGTCCGTGTTATTGGGCTCACGTGTAGCCTCCACTTCTGCTACCGCGGATGACTGCTCTGTTCGTAGGCCCAGCATGTCAAGTCTGGCATGGCTGAAGACTGGCTCGTGTCAACCGGCTGTCATTTTGTCTACTGTCTGCTCAGTGTAGCTTTCTGGTGGGCTTATCAAGAAATTTTAGGAATCTCTATTTTTAAAGGTTCATTCATTCATTTGAAAGGCAGAGTGACAAAGGCAGATCTTCCATCTGCTGGATGGAAGTGGAGCAGCTGGGACTTGAACTGGCATCCATATGGGATGCCGGCACTGCAGATGGTGGCTTTACTTGCTATGCCACAGTGCCGGTCCCCCCGACCACCATTTTTAGGGCCATGCTTTTTTATTCCCCCCCTTTTAGAGTGATTTATTTGAAAGGCAGAATTACAGGGGTGTGAGAGAAAAAGAAAAGGGGGGGGGAAGAAGGGGAAAGATAGCAAGAGATTCATCTTCCATTCAGTGGCTCACTCCTCAAATGGCTGCAATAGCTGGGGATGGACCAGGGCGAAGCCTGGAGCTTGGAATTTCATCCAGGTCTCACATGGGCAGCAAGGACTGTCACTTGCGTCATCTGCTGCTTTCTCAGGCACATTAGCAGGAAGCTGGATCGAAATGGAACAGCCAGGACATGAACTGGCAGTGCTCATAAGGAATGCGACTGCTGCACCACAGCCCTGGAGGCCCCAGGGCTACAAATTTCAAGACAGCTCTTATCTTCACTATCCTCCATCCTCCTAATAAGACATTATTTTAAAATTTAGTATCTCAGGGAACAGTTTAAGAGGTTTCTAGTTGGCCTTTCCTGACACGATAGTTCTTTTCCTAAAGGCCTATTATTGATTGATCATTTTCAGTTATGTATTGGGAGACTGTAGAAACCACTAGGCGGTCCAAGCATTCAGTGGGCTCACTGAGCCATACTTTAGCCAGAGCTCTATTTTAATGAACTGTCTCCAGTTAGATAGAAGGCTATGATGATGCTTTGGCCTCTTATTATCAATGTCAACTCAGAACCTAGACCCAATAGTTGTTTGCTCATTTCTTTTTCCAGTGTATAGTTACCCAAGTCAATGGTCATGAGTCTTTGAAGAGGGACTGAGGGAACCACTATGTTGGTATATATTTGCATGGTCTTTCAGGGTCATTCTACCTAGGCTGTTGGTCACCACTTCACCAGCGTAATCTGGATCTGAAAACTGGCTCATATCTAGAAGCTGAGCGAGGGACAATGATTTACTGGGGGTGACTGCCCTCAGCTCCCTGCTCCTCCATCCTTGAGGACTTTGTGATTATAGCTGTTAAACTGCGTGCTTCTTAGTAGGTAAGGCAAGCAGCCTTGTCCACTGCTGCTGCTACTGCCAGAAGTGCTGCCAATAACTAAAAGAAATAAAGAAGAAAAAGTTCTCCTCCCATATTACAACCTCCTGGATTCAAAGAAACTATCAGGAAGCCAGTAGGCAGAGGAGTCTGGGAAATGTAGATTCTTGGATCTGAGGATAGAAACCTAGGATCAGTATGGGGATAGAGGGAGACTATCAACAGGCAAACAGTTTCTCGCTAGCAACAGCAAAATAGTTGCATTACAGCTGAAGTGTCTTTTTTTTTTTTTTTTTAAGATTTATTTATTTGAAAGTTACACAGAGAGTAGAGGCAGAGAGAGAGAAGGAAAGGCAGCGGCGGAGGGTGTGTGTGTGTCGTCTTCCATCTGCTGGTTCACTCCTCAGATGGCCGCAACGCTGATCTGAAGCCAGGGACCAGGAGCTTCTTCCAGGTCTCTCATATGGGTGCAGGGGCCCAAGCACTTGAGCTATCTTCCACTGTTTTCCCAGGCTGTAGCAGAGAGCTGGATCGGAAGTGGAGCAGCTGGGACTAGAACTGGTGCCCATATGGGATGCTGGCACTGCAGGCAGCGGCTTTACCTGCTATGCCACAGCACTGGCCCCACAGCTGAAATATTAACCACCTCTATTGTTTTCAATAAGATGTTTACTTCACAACCAGATACTAGCTATCCTGGGTAACTCAGATATAGTATGCATACAATAGAAAAATCTACACCAGGCTGGGGTTACATCCCTCTGCCAAGAGGCAGATGACCTGTTCCTGGCTATAGTAGTCAAAGAGACAAGACACTAGGAGATATTACACATGGCAAACTCTTTATTTTCTTATTAACACTAAAGCAGAAAATACAAACATTAAAACAGAATATGAACAACAATCTATTGCCCCATTTTCAAAGCAGGCACAAAACATACAAAAGACATTTTAAATCAGCTTAACTCCAAACCCTCTAATGGGAAAACCACCAGAGGTAGACAGAGGTAAGGGAACATGGTAGACAGAGACCCTGGTAGTGCTCAGTGGACTAGAGCTAGTCAGGTACAGCTTCCTGCAAGTAGGGTGGTCCCCCATTTCCCATGGAGAAATCAGTCATAGTCACGTCAATTCGCTTCCAAAACATCCAAGCATATTGTAGGAATGCAAGGTCAGGCAAACCTTGAGATTCACCCAACCTCCCTAGTAACAAATCCCTTAGTTCCTACTCTTAGGGGAAACCAATGAGTATCAGTTGAGTAGACTTCAAAGCAAGTCAAATCCTAACCTACCCCAAAGAGAAAGGCAGTCAGAGGCTGACCACTCGCATCCTCTCTGCCAGTCTGCTGAAATCAGATGACTTTCTACTGAAGTGTCGGGCCCAGGGAGCCACTCTTAATCAACATATCATAAGGAACATCTCCACCAAGAAAGGGGAGTTTTGCCCAGACTCCAGAAGGTGGCTTTTATAAAGATGTTCTCAAATAGAAGGAGGCCATTAAAAAGGTTAGTAACTAGAATATGGAACTCTGGGGAAATCCACAACAATGAGAAAAATCCTGGCAACCTTCCAGACAGTTGATAGCTCAGAATTGTTTTATAATAAAAGTAGCATCTCTCTGACAATCATGTAAGAAAAAACATCCTGCATCAAAGAACAGGGCAGTGACCTGCCACCCCTTGAAGACGGTGGTTCAGCAGAGGAGCCTGAGGCAAACAGAAACTGAGCCTCCAGTGGAGAGACCAGCGCTCAGTGCTGGCCAGTGCAGGAGAGGAACGACAGCTGGTGAGCATCTCCCTGCCACCATGTGGGTCTCCAGCCACCACTCTCTTCCTGAGAATAACCTTTTATTACCTACACTTTTACAAAACATTATGGAGGAAAATCAGAGGAACTTAAGAGTCAAACATCAATTTCAGAGAGGAAAGCTTTTACCTGGGAACTAAAAACATGCTCAAGAACAGTCCCTTACTCTGAGGGATTGGCTTTATTGAGATAGGAACTCTCAAAATGGTAAAAAACAAGCCGTTCTATCCTCAAAAATGGTTTGAGTGTAGCTTCTCTCCTGTGAGCTCTTAGTCCTTTGCTCTCAATCTTAGGTGAGACTAAAATAAGAGCTTTGACATATCATTCATTTTTTCCTAGTGAGAGAGGAAAGCAGTAGTCTTTAAAGCTTTGAATTGGATAAAACTAACCCTGAGATCCTAAAATAGCTAAATATACAAGCCTTCCCTATTGCTCAAACAACTGGTCTTTTGTCTTTAGATCTCAAAATATGCAATGAGTTTAATGTACTCAGCATTAGCAAAGATTCTAACACTCATCAGTTGCCTTCATCACTGGGCTTGCTGACATTCCAGCACCGTGTGCCTCAAACGTAACTACTGTTGCCACAAAGCATGCCAGATGTGTTCTACCACACATTTCTGTGGAGATGAGACCAAGGTACCAAAAGGTCAGCCATTAGGCTGAGAAATAAATTAAATCACACACAAGGTTCCACAGTGCCCTCTTGTGTTTAACTGGAGAAGGACTCTTCTACATCCATGCTGCATCCAAGCAGCAAACAATGCAGGACTCTCAAAGCAATTAACCCAGTGAAAAGACCATTCAAGTGGGGTGTCATATCCCCTGGAAAACGCTTGGTGAACACGCCTATCTTAGAAGACTGCTGAGAGGATATTCTCAGGTCCAACAGAAAGACAGGAAATAAAGACAGATTCCCAAAAAGACTCAAGAAGGCTCGTAACTCAAGAAATAGAAAATGAAGATGGACCACCAGTACTTACTCTTTTAAGGGATATAGCAGATACACAATCTGTAGTGTCTAAGTGACCTGGAGTCCCAGAATCATATTAATCCAAAAGAACCATGATCCCAAAAGTTGTCCACAAGCAATAAACAGGAATATTACTCAAGGCTGCTAGGTGCTAGCAAAAAGCATTTAACATGAACCATCAGTAGATCTGAAAGCTCAAAACCATGGTCACTCCCACCTATAGAGGTGGACCATCTTCTCTGTCAAGGTGGCCAGGTAGCTATTATGGTTCACCTCAAATGGGCAGATGTCCAAGACAGGATGATCAGTCTGCAGGTCCTGTAACTTTGAGCCATTGCTGGCATCCCACAGCTAAAGAAAAGCAAAGACAAAGGTTAGTAGTCAGTTCAGGTTGGGGATTTGCTCTCTTAATCATCAAACAACTCTGAAAGAGCTACTGAGAGAGCCATGCCTGGGGAGCAAACAAACTGTTCCTAACCTTCACAAGGTATCACAAAAGCCAGCATACCTTACATGGTACAAGTATAGCTTCACCTAGGATAATCAGCAGTTATTCCAACTTTGAAATGAGTTTGAAAACCAAGCCTGGTACTCATTTCTTCAATTATTGTACCAGGAAGTCTTCTAGGGCCGTCATTTCTAGTGACAAAGGATCAGTAAGACAAAGCCCCTGTTACAGTCCTCAGGGAACATACCTTTTAACTGTGCTTCCTTCTCCTTTCTAATAACTTTTAATATTACTAAAAACATTTAAAAGCACTTAAAAAAGTAGACAGAATAGTACAATGAGCTACTCATCACCTAGATTCAACATTACATTTTTACTATATCTGTTTTATCAACCCTATTTTTTTTATTCTACCAGCTTCAGCCATTTTACCCTTATTTACTTAAGTATGCATCTCTAACACCTCAATGCCATCATGTCCAACAAAATGAATATACTATTATCTAAAACCTGGTACATAAACTTCCCGGGGAGTTTTTTTTTACATCCTGTTTGTTTCTATCAGGTCCACATTACATTTGGTAGCTATTTCTTTTAAATCCAGAGCAGATCCAATCTCCGATTTCCCCCTGCCCCCACCTTGCAGAAGCTGGGTCAGCTGTCTTACAGAATGCCCACAACCTGGGCTTGTTTGCTTTCTGTGCTATCATTCAACTTGTGGCTCAATTCCCTACAATTCCAGTCAGTGAAGGTTAACAACAGTCTCAGGATGGCACTCTTAAAACAGTGGCAACTAGCCATGTTTATATTTAACTAAAACAAAGTTCTTCACTCATACTAACCACATTTCAAGTGGCTAGTATTCTGGACAATGTTGTTATCAGCCTTGATTAACTTAGGTTCAAGTATACCTTACAGGAGGCACTGTGTGCTTCAAATTATCTTAAACAGGCACAATATTACTGGTTAACCCACTTACAGTGATGCTAAGAAGACTAGTCAACAAGTTCAGGTGATAGGCTGGTCCGTCCACCACCAAATTGCCTATCAACTTTTCATCTGCTGACTTCATTCTGAGTTGATGAAGTTGATGCTTTGGGTAAGTTATTTTACTGGAGTTTCAGTAGTGCCTTTTTTCCCTCCAAAAAATTTATTTATTTCTTTGAAAGACAGAGTTACAGAGAGAGAGAAGGAGCGGATTTCTATCAGTAGTCAGGAGCTTCATCCAGGTCTACCATGTGGGTGGGCAGGGGCCCAGACACTCGTGCTTTCCCAGGCACATTAGCAGGGAGCTGGACTGGAAGTGGAGACTCAAACCAATGTACATATGGGATGCCAGCATCATAGATGGTGGCTTAACAATGCCAGCTGCTTAATAGTGTTTTTATCTATTTATCTGAAAGGCAGACTTAAAGATTGACAGAGAAAGAGAGACAGAGAGATCTTCCATCCACTGGTTCATTCCCCAAATGGCTGCAATAGCTAGGGCTAAGCCAGGCCAAAGGCAGGAGCCAGGAACTTCTTCTGGGTCTCCCACATGGGTGGCAAGGGCCCAGGGACTTGGGCCATCCTCCACTGCCTTCTCAGTTGCATTAACAGGGAGCTGGATTAAAAGTAGAGTAACTGGGCCTTGGCCGGCGCCGGCACACCGGGTTCTAGTCCCGGTTGGGGCGCCGGATTCTGTCCTGGCTGCCCCTCTTCCAGGCCAGCTCTCTGCTGTGGCCAGGGAGTACAGTGGAGGATGACCCAAGTACTTGGGCCCTGCACCCCATGGGAGACCAGGAGAAGTACCTGGCTCCTGCCATCGGATCAGCGTAGTGCGCCAGCTGCAGCGGCCATTGGAGGGTGAACCAACGGCAAAGGAAGACCTTTCTCTGTCTCACTGTCCACTCTGCCTGTCAAAAAAAAAAAAAAAAAAAAAAAAAAAAAAAAAAAAAAAAAGTAGTAGAGTAACTGGGCCTCAAACCAGCATCCATAATGATTGCTGGCACCACAGGTGGTAGCTTTACTCACTAGGCCACAATGCCAGCCTCCCCCCCTTAAAAAAAAAGAGAAAAGATTAATAATATGGCCCATGGAACTATGGCTCAGCTAAAAAGAATGAAGTGAGTCTACAGATATTAAAATGAAAAGATATCTAAGATAGGAAGTTAAATGGGGAAAAAGAAACCCAAACTATAGAGTAGTTAAGTATAGTACAACTCATGTGAAGAATAAGTCACACAACCACACATACATACATATGTAGCTACAGGAGAAAATGGAACGTAACTCTGGCTTTTTACTTTACACACATTTGTACAAATTATTCAAGATTTTCCCATCAACATTTTCTATAAAAACAGTGACTTTTTAAGCAAAAATAAAAACAACAGGCTCACCAAAGCAGAATTTGATGCTTCATCCCCAGTACACACCAAGATGCTACCATCATGCTCTGGACTTTGGAAAATGGCATTTTTGGTCAACAGTTTGCAAGTGGGTCCACCATGGAATGTTTGTACAGGATTGCAGGAGCAGACTGGCTCTCCAGCATCATCCAGCCTATAGGACATCTCCATCAGCACACTCCGCATGGTACTGTGGTTTTTATCTATGGGACAGAGAAATCAATGCTGCAGATGGCGATGATAGAAAAGAACTTAAGTAAGTTCCTGAACCTCGGACACTTACAACGTAATTGAGTGAAAAGGCTACAAACCACCAAGAACAGCTACAAAGCAAACACAGCAATAAGAAAAAAATATTGCACAAATGAAATTTAGAACCCTGGGCTAAGATGAAGCAAGTTTTCTATAATAGGTTTTGTCTACAATTAAATCAGTACACCTAGCCAGATTTCTACTAGGGGATTTCTTTCTTAAGAGTTTTAACTAAAAATTTGCCCCCCCCCCCCTTTTTTCCTAGTTAGGACCCTACTGGCCTCTATCACAGTATGTTATTATAAAGTGAACACATTCCATTATACAAAGGGAAGCATGTATCTTAGGTTCTGGGCCTAGTTAAAATTTTCTTGTGTAGTTTTGAAATACAGCCCAATTATTCCTCAGCCTATTACCCCAAACCCAACATACCTGTAAACTGCTGACTACAGTAACATCTAACAGTTAACACCAGACTCAGGTAAGTTCCCCTCTTAAAGTGTTTTTTTTTGAATTACCCAATTGCCACCCTGGCAGTAAAGCTTAGGGAGAAGTGCCCATGGGCCTTAATAAAAGCAAGTCTCACAGGTGCTCTTTCTCTCCCATCAGTGGTGGAGAGTACATGTTCCCCAGATGGCTCTCCTTCTCCCAGAGAGGCACACTGCTCTCTTCTCTCCAGAATTTGTAATAAACCACTTGTTTTTTCATGTGTTTTGTTGAGTTGCTTCCTCTGTGTTATACTTGAAAAACAAACACCTGAATCTAACTTTTTTCTTGGCCACGGTTATCCTAGACAGTGGCTATAATGATAGGAATAGAATAGACACAGGTCAGACCAGAGTCACAAAGGTGGGGTCAGGGTTGTGGTGCAATAAGCTAAGCTGCTGCCTGTGATGCCAGCATTTCACACCAGAGCTCTGGTTTGAGTCCTGGCTGCTATGCTTCTAATCCAGTTCCCTATTAATGAGCCTAGTAAAGTGGCAGACGGTGGCTCAGGTACCCCTGCCACACACTTGGGAGATCAAGATGAAGTTCCTTGTTCCTATCTTTGGCCTGGACCAGCCCCAGCCGTTATAGTTACAGCCAATTTCCTGAAAGAGACCGCAAGACCAAATTAGGAAGGGAAAAAAACACTATAATATTGAATATCAGTATGATTCATAAGAAATTTAGATTCATGCCTTTTAGGCTACAGAAACTCCTATGAATCCAAGCAGTCTGCTGTCAAGGGTTCTGCCCTGGTTCTGAAGACTGTTCAGCTGGCTAGGCCTACACACTCAACCATGGCTATATCCATCTTATCTTATTTACCTCTGTTGGCCCTAAATAAAGAGGATTAGCTAGCTAGTCTGGGTACCACATGCTTGCTTTCATCTGGGACTTTCTCTTAGATGAAGTGAGGGACGCTCATCAAACAAGAAACTTATCTGAAGATAGCTCAATGGTTCCAAGAGTAGCCCTCCTCATTACATTACTGTTTCAAGTTGCAGAAGCTCCTAAAGTGGCTAATTCACTTCCAGGGAGACCTACTGGAATGTGTTCTAGATTTTACAAGCAGCAGGGAGGCATGCTGTAGGAGAAAGAGCTACAAGAGGACAAGAAGTGCAATGGGAGCTGTTAGCCTGGAAGGGACTTACCACAACCTCCCCAAGGGAAGGGTCAAATCCTCCTTCCTTCTCCTCTCTCAGTCTGTTCCCAAATAAACCGTAAGAGGTTCCACGAGAACACCTCAACACTTACCAGGCCTGTAGGTCACAAGACAGTGCCGGGTGCTACTTTCTGTCTGGAAGTCTATACAGCCCCCTTGCTCCAAGGGCAGCACGTGAGGCCAATGAGAAAAGCCTGGTCTCAGCACCCAGAAGGAAGCATTCTCCAAGGTTCCAGCCAGTACTCCACCATACGGAAAGGCAGCCGAAGCAGCTTTAGGTATATGACAGGGATACCAGCGGGCATCTGAAAGAAAAGAAAGGAAACTATGCCTCACATTCCAATACCCGGATGGCTCCAGATCCCACAACCAAGATCCCTACACTACATTTCTACCTCTACAGAAGAGTAAATACTTTTGAGTTACTATCCTGGCACCTGACAAAAACTACCAACTCTTTGTAGAAAGGAAAAGGCAGACACATAATATTCTGCATATAATATCAGGGGAGGTCCAGAAGCTCTACAAGAAACTAGGGGTTGGGGGGCAGGCCAACATTGTGGCACAGTAGGTTAAGCATCTGCCTATGGCGCCGCCATCTCATATGAACGCCAATTCGAGTCTCAGCTGCTCCATTTCTGATCCAGCTCCCTGCTGATGGTCTGGAAAAGCAGTAGAAGGTAGCCCAAGACTGCACCCACACTGGAGAACTCAGAAGAAGCTCCTGGCTTTGGACTGGCTCAGCTCCAGTAACTGCGGCCATTTGAGGAGTGAACCAGTGGATGGAAGAGTTTCTCTAACTATGCCTGTCAAGTAAATAAATAAATCTTAAAAAAAAAAAAAAAGAAAGAAACTAAGAAAAAGGGAAAAAAAGGATTAGGAAATTTAATCGATGCAAGATCATAATTAGAAAATCTAACTAGTGTGAAGCTCCTGGCAATGGCATTAGGCACATACACAAGAAAAGCCAGTAAGGAAACACAGCTTATGTAACCAATGAAAAGTCTAAGCTATAGTTAAAAACCCCTACGATTAAAATATAGTCAATCTGGGGCCAGCACTGTAGGTTGAGCCTCTCCCTGCAGTGCCGGCATCCCATACGGGTGCTGGTTTAAGTCCTGGCTGCTCCACTTCCGATCCAACTCCCTGCTGACTTGCTTGGGAAAGCAGAGGATGGCCCAAGTGCTTGGGCCCCTGCACCCACGTAGGAGATCCAGAAGAAGCTCCTGGCTCTTGGCTTTGGATCGTCCCAGCTTCTGCCACTGTGGCTATTTGGAGAGTGAACCAGCAGATGAAAGACCTCCGTCTTTCCCTCTGTCTATAATTCTGCCTCTCAAATAAATAAAATAAATAAGATATATAGTCAATGGTTAGGACTAACATTGTGGCATAGCAGGTAAAGCTTCTGCCTGGGATGCTGGCATTCCATATTGGCACTAGTCTGAGTCTCAGCTGTTCTACTTCAAATCCAGCTCCCTGCTACTGGCCCAGGAAAAGCAGCAGGAGATAGCCCAGGTGTTTGGGTTCCTGTCACCCACCCACCCCTGGGAGATACAGAAGAAGCTCCTAGATCCTCATTTCAGCCTGCCACTGTACCAGCTATTGTGGCCATCTGAGGAGTAAACTAAGTGGACAGAAGATCTCTTTCTCTCTTTGGAATTTTGCCTTTCAAAATAAATAAGTTTTACAAAAAAATCAGCCTATAGAGTTGTGGTGAAGCGGATTAAGCTGCTGCTGATGAAGTGGGCATCCCATATATGTGCCAGTTCAAATCCCAGCTGCTCTTCCAATCCAGCTCCCTGCTAATGTGCCTAGGAACACAGTGGAAGATGGTCCAAGTACTTGGGATCCTGCCACCCACGTGGAAGACCCAGATGGAGTTCAATTTGTGGCTTCAATCTGGCCTAGCCTTGCTGTTTGTGGCAATCTGGGGAGTGAACTAGTGGATGGAAGATATTTATCTCTCTAACTCTGCCTTTCAAATAAATCTTAAAAAAAAAAAAAAAAAAAGTGACAAAGCAACTGCAATTCAGAAACAGAATCATTTCAGATTTTCTAAAATTTTTCCTTCCTTTTTTTTTTTTTAAAAGATTTATTTCTTTTTATTTGAAAGTCAGAGTTACACGGAGAGAGAGAGAGAGGTCTTCCATCCAATGGTTCATTCCTCAATTGGCCGCAATGGCTGGAGCTGCACTGATCCGAAGACAGGAGCCAGGAGCTTCTTCCGGGTCTCCCACGCGGGTGCAGGGGCCCAAGGACTTGGGCCATCTTCTACCGCTTTCCCAGGCCATAGCAGAGAGCTGGATCAGAAGTGGAGCAGCTGGGTCTTGAACTGGCACCCTTATGGGATGCCGGCGCTTCAGGCCAGGGCGTTAACCACTAAGCCACAGCAGCGGCCCCATTTTTTTTTTAATATGGAATGCTTCACGAATTTGTGTGTCATCCTTGTGCAGGGGCCATGCTAATCTTCTCCGTATCATTCCAATTTTAGTATATGTGCTGCCGAAGTGAGCACTAAATTTCTTTCTGCAAGCCTATGACCAAGACTGTATGCCAAGAATCCTTTCAGAAATATTAGTCTGGGGGCTGGTATTGTGGTGTAACAGGTAAAGCCACAGCCTGCAGTGCTGGCAACCCATATGGGCGCCGCCAGTTCAAGTCCCGGCTGCTCTACTTCTGATCCAGCTCTCTCCTGTGGCCTGGGAAAGCAGTAGAAGATGGCCCAAGTCCTTGGGCCCCTGCACCCGCGTGGGAGACGCGGAAGAAGCTCCTGGCTCCTGTCTTCAGATCAGCGCAGCGCCAGCCATTGCGGCCAACTGCAGAGTAAACCAGTGGATGGAAGATCTCTCTCTCCCTCTGCCTCTCTGCCTTTCAAATAAATAAATTTAAAAAAACAAAACATCAGTCTGAAGAGTATGTTCCTCTGAATTCATTTCTACCGATTCTGACAAGAGGCCATTTTGCCTGTTTTACTTCATTTTCCCTAACACAATGAAGCCAAAGCAAACTAAAATGAGTATTACATAAAAACATAATTTCCCTGCTATTTTTAAACTTGATGTACTTTATTGTCTACTTGACATAGTTCCCTCTACATCAATGGCAGTTACTTCTTTTGTCTGGGGTACACATCAATCATATTCATGTACATGGCCCATGTTATTGAAGCATGGTTCCATGCTGCCCAAATGATAAAAACCCTAATGTGTTGAGCCTAGGTCTTAGTAAATAATGATTGCTATACTGATATCTTCATATTTAGATTACTCTGCTCCTTTTAATATATACTCACTCAAAACTGGAAATGGAAAGTCTCTTTCAAGACAATTTTCATTGTGGCCAGGTCATAAAACCTCACTTCCCTTCTGAGAACTTTATACATCCAGGATGGTGCAAATGGCATGCAACACATTCTGAGGAGCCACAGTGGTGCCACTCTCGAACTTGGGCTGACTTTACAAGCCTTGCAATAATATAACTGGATTACAAATGCAAAGTAATACTAATACATTATCCTCAGACTATGTTATCTAGCTTTGGATTAAGGAAGTTTTAAATCACTTTCTATTATGCTACCCTTTGCTCATCTCTTCTTGTGTGCTTGACATGTGGATACTAAAGCAAAACTATGATCGTCATATTTCACAAAGTTTACAACTAGGCAAGAAATGTGACCAAGGTCACATGACTTGTAAGTGGTACAGCTTGGTTCTGTACATAGATCTGACTCTATGAACCTGGCTATACTTGATACCAAAGCTTTACAACACAACAAAAACATTAAGGATCTACTGATTACGAAGGAAGAATAGATCAGTGGATCTTAGAGAACTGTTAGGAACGTGCTCTGAGAGAGAATACAGTAATAATCCAAGAGAAAGCTGCTGCCTAGAGTGAAAACGTGGCAGGTTTCTTACCTGGCTTTCTGAGGCACCAACTCCTGGACGTGAGAGTTTGTAATTCGCATGTCGTACACCAGAATTGAACCGTTGACCAGCCCAGCATAGAGATAATAGTTTTCATCAAGACACCAGCAACAGCTCCAGACAGGCCGACCAGTATTGTAAGTCTGCACCACAGTATTTGTCTCCAGGCTATGATGTTACAAGAGAATTTTACAATCATTCATTAAAATCACATGGTGACGGAGGGACAGCAGTGTTGTGGTCCAATGGCCAAGCTACTACCTGCAATGCCAGAATCCCATATGGTCTCCAGTTCAAGTTATGATAGCTCCTCTTCAATCTAGCTCCCTGCTAATGGTGTGGGGAAAGTGGCAGAAGATGGCCCAAATGTTTGGGTCCCTGCCACCCATGTGGGAGACCCAGGCAAAACTCCTGGCTCCTGGCTTTGGCCTGGCCCAGTCCTTGCCACTGTGGCCATTTGGGGAGTAAGCCAGCAGTTGCAAAGATCTCTGTCTCCCTCTCTCTGTGTAAATCTTTCAAATAAATAAATCTTTAAGAAAATTTCATATTAATTAGGAAGATAACCCAGAAAAGGTATAAGATGCAGAGATCAGTATTCCAAATCTGTAGTCACTTTTTCCAATAGATAAACTTCCTTCCACACCAAAAGCATGGTCCAAGTCAAAACATTCACTAAATGTCATGTTAGAATCCCACATGTGGGCTGGGGTCATGTCCTGGCTGTTCTACTTCCAATCCAGATCCCTGCTAATAGGCCTGGGAAAGCAGCAGAAGATGACCCAAGTGCTAGGGCCCCTGCAACCATATAGGAGATGGAGTTCCAGGATCCTAGCTTTGGCCTGGCCTGGCCTAGTCCTGCTGTTGCAGCCAACTGGAAGTTAATCAACTGATGGAAGACCTCTATCTCTAATAAATAAATAAGTCTTTAAAAACAAAAACAAAGAATCTCACATGGACTGTATGTGACCACCTGCCACCTCTTTAATACAACTGAGCTATTAAAAACACACAGAAGGAGCCAATGGTATGGCACAGAAGGTGAAGCTGCTGCCTGTGAGGCTGGCATCCCAAATGGGTACCAGTTTACATGCCAGGTGCTCTGCTTCTGATCTAACACTCTGCTAATTATCTGGGAAAGCAGAATATGGCCCAACTGTTTGAACTCCTGAATATTACATGGGAGACCTAGATGGAGCTCCTGGCTAGCCCTGGCTGTTGAGGCCATTTTGGGGAATGAACCAGTGGATAGAAGACCTCTCTTAACTGCCTTTCAAGTAAAGTAAATAAACCTTAAAAAACACAAACAAAAAAACCAAAACAGAACTAATTTCCCGAAATTCTGTAAATACACAGTCAAGACAAAATGTGAACAATCTGTTTAAAAACATCCTATATAAAGTCTGTAAATAATTAGTATTTGAGGAAACTGGAATATAAATACAACTATTTTTAAGTGATTTTCTTCTCTACTGTGTTATTTTATTTCCATGGAAACTAATCTGATTAAAGCATATATTTTAAAAAGCAAGAGTGGCCAGTGTTATGGCACAGCAGATGAGGACACCACGTGCAACACCAGCATCCCATACAGGAACATGTTCAAGTCCCAGCTGTTCCATTTCTGATCCAGCTCCCTGATAATATGCTTGGGAAAAGCAGTGGAAGATGGCCCAAATGTTTGGGCCTCTGCACCCACATGGGAGACCTGGAAGAAGCTCCTGGCTTGTGGTTTCATTCTGGCCCAGCTCTAGCCACTATAGCCATCTGGGGAGTGAACTAGCAAATGTAAAATCTCCCTAAGTTGTCTTAAAAAAAAAAAAAAAAGAAAGAAAGAAAAAGCCTCTGCCTGTGGTGCTGGCATCCCATATGAGCGCCGGCTGGAGTCTCACTCAGCTGTCCCACTTCCATCCAGCTTCCTGCTAATGGCCTGGGAAAGCAGTGGAAGATGGCCCAAGGACTTGGGCCCCTGCACCCACGTGGGAGACCTGGAAGAAGCTCGTGGCTCCTGGCTTTGGATCGGCCTACCTCTGGCCTTTGCAGCCATTTAGGGAGTGAACCAGCAGATGGAAGACCTTTCTGGCTGTCTGTAACTCTGTCTCCCAAATAAATAAATGAATCTTTAAAAAAAAAAGTTATAGTGACAGAAACCGGGAGAGACAGAGATCATCTTTTTTTTTTAAAGATTTATTTATTTGAAAGTCAAAAGTTACAGATAAGAAGGCAGAGGCTCTACCTGCTTTATCCACTATGCCACAGAGACAGCCCTCAGAGAGGGGTGGAAAATGTCTGGCCCATGAGCTGTGTAAGGCCTGTGGAGGCCAGCTTAACCCATTATTCCACAAAACTGGCCCCATCCTTGCACTAATTCATTCCCCAAGTGACTGAATCCAGGAGCCGGGAAATTTCATTCTGGTCTCCCACAATGGGTGGCAGGGGCCCAAACACTCGGTTCATTTTCTGTTTTCTCAGGCGCATGAGCAGATAGCTAGATCAGAGTGAGAGTAGCCTGTACTTGAAGTGGTGTGACAATAAGGGATGTCAGCACTGGAAGCTGAATCACAATGCTAACCCTTAAAGAATAACTTAAAAAAAAAGCATACACAAATAAAACATGTTATATTGAGTTTTGGGCCAAAATTAGCCTACAATATCTTGAAAAATCAAAAGATTTGGGGCTTGCACTGTGGTGCAGCAAGTTAAGCCACTATCTGCAGTGCCAACATCCCATTTTGGCGCTGTTCTGAGTCCCAGCAGCTCCACTTCCGATCCAGCTCCCTACTAATAGCCTAAGAAAGCAGCAGACGATGATTCCAGTGGTTGAGCCCCAGCATCCACATGGGAGATCTGAATGAAGCTCCTGGCTCTGGCCTGGCCCAGCATTGGTCATTGTGACCATCTAGGGAGTAAACCAGCAAATGGAAGATACCTTTCTCTCTCTTCCATTTTCTCTGTAACTCTAACTTTCAAAATAAATAAATCTTAAAGAAAAAAAAAAAGTGTTTTACAGTGCTCACAGAGCATGTAAAAGATAAATAATGGTACCCAAAGACAGCTAGAGCCTAGTCTTTTCTTTTTTAAAGAATTATTTATTTATTTGAAAGGTGGAGTTACAAAGAAGGAGAGATAGAGAGAGATCTTCTACCAGCTAATTCACTCCCCTAATAGCTGCAACAGCCAGGGCAGGGCCAGGCCAGGCCAGGCCAGGCCAAAGCTAGGAGCCAGGAGCTTCTGCTAGGTCTCCAGTAGGTACAGGGGCCCAGGCACTTGGACCATCCTCTGCTGCTTTCCCAGGTGCATTAGCAAAGAGCTGGATCAGAAGTGGAGCAGCCAGGACTGACTTGCACCCACTTGCGATGCCAGCACTACAGGCAGTACCTTAACCCACTGTGCCACAGCACCGGCCCCAAGCGAGTTGTTTAATTTTTTAATTTATTGTTTGAGAAAGAGAGGGGGAATAGACGAGAGTGAAAGAGTATGAGCTTCCAACTGCTTGTTCACTCCGTAACTGCCCACAACAGCCACAGCTGGGCCAAGACAAAACAGGAAGCCAGGAACTCAATCCAGGTCTCTCATTTGAGGGGCAAGGGCTCAACTATTTGAGCCATCATTTGTTGCTTCCCAAGGTATGCATAAGCAAGAAGCCTCTCTGATACAGGATACAGGCGTTCAATCAGCAATTTGACTGCTAGGCCAAATGCCTGGTCCCAGTGAGCATTTTTGTTAGACACAATTATCCAAGTCACAGATTAAGTTGCAAGTTGATAGGGTAACTCCATAGTGTCAAGTGCCAAAGCCCCCCTCCATTGTTATTCTATCATTTGCATGGTTTAGGATATATTTTTGAACAAGCATAATCTTAAAGAAATGGAATACTACCTAAATACTTTTGTAAACTGCTATGTGCACTTTGAAAAGCATCACACAGGCCATCATAATACTGACAGCAATTCAATGCTGACGGCACTGAGCAGCCTAGGCTCCATTTTCTGTACTGAAACACTCACCTGGTCAATTTAACAGTGTTGTCCAGGGAAGCAGAGAGCAGCAAGCCTTTGGATCGGGGGTTGAAAGCCAATCCACGTATCTGTTTGCCATGCATTGGAATGTACTGACTACTTTTCATGTTGGCTGTACTCAGCATCCTAACACCAAAGCCTGATAAAGAAAAGACAATATGAAATAGATTGTTGAAAGCCAACGTAGGGCAAAGGATGTACCTGTCATAGTATGTAAACTCCCAGGAATCAGCGGATCAACGAAAGTAAGAATTCCTCAGTGTTATAATTTATTTTAAAAGGTATAATTTGGGGGCCGGCGCCGTGGCTCAATAGGCTAATCCTCCACCTTGCGGCGCTGGCACACCGGGTTCTAGTCCCGGTCGGGGCGCCGGATTCTGTCCCGGTTGCCCCTCTTCCAGGCCAGCTCTCTGCTATGGCCAGGGAGTGCAGTGGAGGATGGCCCAGGTGCTTGGGCCCTGCACCCCATAGGAGACCAGGAAAAGCACCTGGATCCTGGCTCCTGCCATCGGATCAGCGCGGTGCGCCGGCTGCAGCGGCGGCCATTGGAGGGTGAACCAACGGCAAAGGAAGACCTTTCTCTCTCTGTCTCTCTCTCTCACTGTCCACTCTGCCTGTCAAAAAAAAAAAAAAAAAAAAAAAAAAAAGGTATAATTTGGGGCCGGCGCTGTGGCTCACTTGGTTAATCCTCCGCCTGCGGCACTGACATCCCATATGGGCGCCGGGTTCTAGTCACGGTTGCTTCTCTTCCAGTCCAGCTCTCTGCTGTGGCCTGGGAGGGCAGTGGAGGATGGCCCAAGTGCTTGGGCCCCTGCACCCACATGGGAGACCAGGAAGAGGCACCTAGCTCCTGACTTCGGATCGGCGCAGCACCAGCCGTAGCGGCCATTTGGGGAGTGAACCAATGGAGGGAGGACCTTTCTCTCTCTCTCTCTCTCAGTCTATAACTCTACCTGTCAAATTTAAAAAAAAAAAAAAAGGTATAATCTATTCTAAATGTCCATCAATAGATGAATAAACAAACCTATTGTATATATACAAAGCAATGAACTCCCGATACACACAGTAATATGGACAAATCTCAAAAAACTAATTTCTTTCTAAGAAAAAAGCAAGGAAAATAGTAATACAGAGGACCAGCACCGTGGCAAGTTGGTAAAGCCTCTGCCTGCAGCACTGACATCCCATACAGATGCTGGTTCATGTCCCAGCTGCTCCACTTCAGATCCAGCTCCCTGCTGATGGCCTGGGAAAGCAGTGGATGATGGCCAAAGTACTTGGGCTCTGGCACCCAAGTGGAAGACCTGGAAGAAGCTCCTGGCTCCTGCCTTCGGAAAGGCCCAGCTCTGGCAGTTGTGGCCATTCAGGGAGTGAACCAGTGGATGAACGACCTCTCTGTCTGTAACTCTGCCTCTCAAATAAATAAATAAATCTTGAAATAAAAAAGTAATACAGAATCATTTCATTTGTATAAAATTCTAGAAAATGCAAACTAATTTATAATGATTAAAGGCAGATCAGTGGTTGCCTGGGAATGTATCAGTGTATAACATTCCTGGGAGGGAGATAATAAAATGTCCTTTATTGTTACTCTGTTCTCTCACCAGGCTGTAACAACACATTCTATTATTATCTGAGTTATATAAAAACAGAATCTGTCAACTTTTAGATTCAAGATAGCCTTGAATCTCACTTCAGCTATTACAGGGAACCAAGCAGGATGAAGTTTATTGTGTTGTCTCCTGGAACAGAATTAGGAAAGCCAGAGACAAACAAGGGAACCATAGGCTTTAAATCAACAAGGGAATCTGACCACCTACTTAGTTAATCATTAAGAAGAAAAAGGACACATTAGCACCAGCCTGCTATGAAGAAGTTTGCTCTAACAATGAGAATAGACACATTAAGAGAAAGGGATTGGGGACTATCAAAAGAAAAAGTATTTTCCAATTTATGGCAAACTTTTACTTGACGATAAATCTTCTTTATTGGGATATAAGGAATACCATAAACAATCCTTTTACTTTCCCTTAAAATGAGAGGCTATCAGGAGCATCCAACTCATAGCTTATCTCAACCAATACAGAAACACGTCAAATTAGGGATTCCATTCTCGAACTTGTTATATCTAGATTTAGGGACAAAGCTTTTAAGTATTTGAATGGAACTTTAAAAATTATCTATTAATTTGAGAATCAAAGAGATACAGAGACAGAGCCCCCATCCACTGATTTAATCATCAAGTGTCTGCAGTAGCCTAGGTTGGGCTGGGGCAGAAAGTGGGAGCCAGGGACTCAATCCAAGTCTACACGGGAGGTGGGAGCAACCCATCACTTGAGACATCACCACTGTCTTCCAGGGTCTGCATTAGCAGTCAGGAGCCAAGGCCAGGAATCCAACTGTGAGATATGAGACAGGCTTTTAAACTGCTGGGCGAAATGTCCACTTGAGGGAAACTTCTAAGTGGGGAAACAGAATAATCAGGCTGAAGTAAGGGACTTTACAGTTGCTGCTGTTGTGGTGCAATGGGTTAAGCCGCTGCTTAGGACACCACCATCCCATATCAGAGTGCCAACTCAAGTTGCTTCACTACAAAATGCAGCAGAAGATGGCCAAGTACTTTACTTGGGTCCCTGTTACCCACATGGGAGACGTGAATGGAGTTCCAGGATCCTGGCTTCAGCCTGGCCTAGTCCTGAATGCTGTGGCCATTTGAGGAGTTAATGAGTGGATGGTATTTCTTTCCTTCTCTGTGACTCTGTAAGTTGAATGGAATATATAGAGAGTGATGGCCTTCTCCTCAGATTATTATAGGTGGCCGAGGCTTCTAATACCACATCTCCCACTTTACTATGATTATTAGTATTTCTACTCCTTTGGTGAACAAATTTACAGACTGAAGGCAGTAGACACTAAAGACTTCCTGATTAATAGGAAGCTGAAAGGAATGGGTAATTTGGTGGGCTGCTGAGTCCTAGAATCTTCAAAAAGGGAGAGGAGAAAAACAAGTGGAGTCCAACGATGAATGCGAAGGGTGAGGTCCTGGCATCTAGCATAGTTACCTGGAAGGAAGGAGGCTTGAGGAGAAGGCTGTGACACCACCAGGCAGCTAAGAGTTTCACAGTATTCCATGATCCGCAGCTTCCTGTCTGAGACACTGGGAAGGTCTTCTGGAAGTGGTACTTGCGCTGGCCCTGGCTGGAAGACTGGCAGCTCAGGAACTGTGCTTGGGAGCCCCTGAGTCGCTGTAAAGTTTGTTCCTTATGCTGCATAATAAGACTTTGCAAATCCTAAAATGACAATGATTTTGTAAATGCCAGACTTTTTCATCTGATATTCTCTTCAAGCACAATTCCACAATCTAAGATTTCTTATCCATTATATGAAAATGTTAACATCAGTCCCACAAAATTGCTAAATTTATAAAAAGTCTTATAATGGTTATTTTGCTTGAAGCTTTCATTTTACAGGGGGCATTGGGAGAAATAAGATAACCTAAGCTTAAGTTTAGAATTCTCAGCTTGCTGTTTAACTTTTTTTCTGAAATTCAGACTGCAGAAATTATCATATAAAGTGTCTAAGTTTTGCACAATGCCCTACTCAGAAATAAAAAGTTGGTCATGTTTACTTCCTAAACAACTGGAGTAATCCTATTTGTATTAGAGATGAACCTAGTAATATTTAGATTCGGGGCTGAGGATGTGGCATAGCAGATAAAACAGCTGCCTGCAGGGCCAGCATCCCATATGGGCGCCGGTTCGAGACCCAGCTGCTCCATTTCCGATCCAGCTCTCTGCTATGGCCTGGGAAAGCAGTAGAAGATGGCCAAGTCCTTGGGTCCCTGCATCCACGTGGGAGACCCAGAGGAAGCTCCTAGCTCATGGCTTTAGATTAGTGCAGCTCCGGCCATTGTGAGCAATTGGGGAGTGAACCATCGGATGGAAGAACTCTCCCTCCCTCCCTTCCTCCCTCGCTCTGCTTCTCCTTCTTTCTGTGTAACTCTTTCAAAGTAAATAAATCTTAAAAAAAAAAAAAAAATTTACATTCCTCTTAAACTGTTTTTCTGAAAGTTCTTAGGGATACAAAGGGCAAGCTTACCTGAACACGACTGTGCAGTTTAGTACATTCATCAGTGAGGACCTGGAGTTGGAGCCGGCACTGGGCTGATTCTAACTCGGCTTGCTTCCTAAGCATTTGCTCCTTCAGTAGCGAACTAGAGGGAGAAAGCCAGCAATGGGGATGGAACGGGTAGATCAGGAGGGCCACAGAATGTATGTCCACATTGTGACACACACATTTTGCTGAAATGTGTCACGATAGTGAATAAAATATAAAAAAAGAAAGTTCTCTCTCAAGTCTAGGAAAACTACTGAAAAGTAGCATACAGGGCTGAACTCATGTGCTGAGGGTTTTGGTGTTAAAGCAAACAATGAGGGGGAATGGGAAACTAAGGGCAAAAGGAGGGACAGAGCCAGTTCATTGCTTTAGTTAAGGCAAACTTGAAAAAATTAAACCGACATGTTAAAAGACCAAGGTTATATATTGGACATAAGCTATTGGTTGTTCATGACATAATCAAATTAAATAATATAAAAAAAAGTTAAAAAGATAGAAAGTATATATGGAGGAAATGCTAACAAAAGGATGGTCAGTTATAATAAGGCAAAAAGTATGAACAGGTGAAAGGAACAACACATAATAAAAGTACACATTCACCAAGAATAACAATCACAAATTTGTATATACCTTGAAAGTTTCAAGTTTGAAAGGCAAAGAAAGAATTCCACTCAAATAAAACAGAAAAGATATAAATTGACAGGGCTGGCGCTGTGGCGTAGCGGGTAAAAACTGCCTACAGTAATGGCATCCCATATGGGCACTGATTTAAGTCACGACTCCTCCACTTCCAATCCAGCTTCCTGCTATGGCCTGGGAAAGCAATAGAAGATGGCCCAAGTCCTTGGGCCCCTGCACCTGCATGGGAGACCTGGAAGAAGCTCCTGGCTCCTGGCTTCAGATCGGGCAGCTTGGGTCCTTGTGGCCAATTGGGTAATGAACCAGTGGATGGAAGACTTCTCTCTCTCTGCCTCTCCTTCTATGCGTAACTCTGACTTCCAAATAAATTATTTATTTATTTATTTGACAGGTAGAGTTACAGACAGTGAGAGAAAGAGACAAATGGCCGCAACAGCTGGAGCTACACTGATCCGAAGCCAGGAGCCAGGTGCCTCTTCCGGTCTCCCATGCGGGTGCAGGGCCCAAGCACTCAGGCCATCCTCCACTGCCTTCCTGGGCCACAGCAGAGAGCTGGACTAGAAGAGGAGCAACCAGGAATAGAACTCGGTGCCCATATGGGATGTTGGCGCCATAGGCAAAGGATTAACCTAGTGTGCCAAGGCACCAGCCCCAATAAATTAATCTCTACAAAAATAAAAATAAAAATTGACAAGGAAAAGACAAGTGGTACAGCAGTTTAAGTTCCCATCTGTAGCACCAGCCATCCCATATGGGCATCAGTTTAAGACCTGGGCTCTCCATTTCCAAACCAGCTCCCTGACAATATGCCTGGGATGGGGCTGGCACTGTGGCGTAGCAGGTAAAACCGCCACATGCAGTACTGGCATCCCATATGGGCACCGATTCTATCTCAGCTGTTCCACTTCCAGTCCAGCTCTCTGCTCTGGCCTGGGAAAGCAGTAGAAGAGGGCCCAAGTCCTTGGGCCCCTGCACCTGTGTGGTAAGACCCTGAGGAAGCTCCTGGCTCCTGGCTTTGGATCGGCATAGCTCCGACTGTTGCAGCCAATTGGGGGGGTGAATCAGTGGATGAAGACCTCTCTCTCTCTCTCTCTCTCTCTCTCTCTCTCTGCCTTTCTGTGCATAACTCTTTCAAATAAATTAAAAAAAAAAAAAAAAAAAAAAAAAAAAGCCAGTGCCGCGGCTCACTAAGCTAATCCTCCGCCTGCGGCGCCGGCACACCAGGTTCTAGTCCTGGTCAGGGCGCCAGATTGTCCCGGTTGCCCCTCTTCCAGGCCAGCTCTCTGCTGTGGCCAGGGAGTGCAGTGGAGGATGGCCCAAGTGCTTAGGCCCTGCATCTGTGGGGGAGACCAAGATAAGTACCTGGCTCCTGCCATCGGATTAGCACGGTGCACCGGTCGCAACGCGCCGACCATTAGAGGGTGAACCAACAACAAAAAGGAAGACCTTTCTCTCTCTCTCTCACTGTCCACTCTGCCTGTCAAAAAAAAAAAAAAAAAAAAGATAATCCCACGCAAGAAGCTCCGGGTTCCTGGCTTCGGAACAGAGCAGCTACAGCCATTCCAGCCACTTGGGGAATGAACCAGCAGATTGAAGATCTCTGTCTATCCTCTCTCTCTGCAAACTATTCATTTAAAATAAATAAATAAATCTTAAACAAAATTGCAGGGTAACTCACAAAACTACTAGTTTAGAAAGGTTGCTAGGGGGCCGGTGCTGTAGCATAGCGGGTAAAGATGCTGCCTGAAGTGCCAGCATCCCATATGGGTGCCGGTTGGAGTCCTGGCTGCCACACTTCCAATCCAGCTCTCTGCTATGGCCTGGGAAAGCAGAAGAAGATGGCCCAAGTCCTTGGGCCCCTGCACCTGCATGGGAGACCTGGAAGACGCGCCTGGCTTTGGATCAGTGCAGCTGACAGCTGCGGCCAACTGAGGAGTGACCCAGTGGATGGAAGACCTCTCTCTCTCTGCCTCTCATCTTTGTAGCTTTTTTTATTTTTATTTTTTAAAAGATTTTATTTATTTGTTTGAGAGGTAGAGTTACAGACAGTCAGAGGGAGAAACAGAGAGAAAGGTCTTCCTTCTGTTGGATCACTCCCCAGATGGCTGCAGCGGCTAGAGCTGCGCCAATCTGAAGCCAGGAGCCAGGTGCCCCTTCCTAGTCTCCCATGCGGGTGCAGGGGCCCAAGCACTTGGGCCATCTTCTACTGCTTTCCCAGGTCATAGCAGAGAGCTGGACTGGGAGAGGGGCAGCCAGGACTAGAACTGGTGCCCACATGGGATCTGGTGCCATAGGTGGAGGATTAACCTAGTGTGCCAGGGTGCCAGCCCCCTGACTTTCAAATAAAATAATAAATCTTAACAAGAAAAAAAAAAAAAGGTTGTCTAGAATCAAGATTAAGAAAATTAGATCAATGGCTTCTCTATACCAGATAACATTAACAGTGAATTAATAGGAAAAAACACATTCACAACAGCAATTTAGGAATACAATTAAAAGGATATACAGGCCTTTATGAAGCAGGTATACTTGAGAAAGCACAGAATACAGAGAATGTAGATGGGAGGATATTATGTAAATGTCATGGCTGGGAACACTAAATATCATGAATTATCTCAAGTCACTGCATGAGCTTTCACATGATTCAATCAGTATCTCAGAGGATTTTTCATGGAACTTAAAAAACTAAAATGGAAAAAGCAGTTGCGAAAATGGAAAATTTTGTTCCTAATTAATTTTTAATTTTAGAAAGGCAGAAAAATGAGGAGACAGAGACCAGAGACAGAGATCTTCTATCCACTGATCACTGCTGAAATGCCTGCAACCGTTCAGAAAGGGCCAGGCCCCAATGCCACACCCAAGTGGATAGCAAAGACCCAAGACTTGAGCCATCACCTGCTGGCTCCCAAAATGTACATTAACATGAAGCTGAATGGGAAGTGGAAACAGGAGTTGAACCAGGCATTCTTATATAGGATGGGCATTCCAATCAAAACTTAGGCACTATATAATTCATCCATACCAAAAGACAATCTGGAAAGAAATAGGCAGAAGGTCAAATTAATACTGAAGAATTAAGAAACAGGAACAGGCCGGCGCCGCGGCTCACTAGGCTAATCCTTCGCCTAGCGGCGCCGGCACACCGGGTTCTAGTCCCGGTCGGGGCTCCGGATTCTGTCCCGGTTGCCCCTCTTCCAGGCCAGCCCTCTGCTGTGGCCAGGGAGTGCAGTGGAGGATGGCCCAGGTGCTTGGGCCCTGCACCCCATGGGAGACCAGGAAAAGCACCTGGCTCCTGGCTCCTGCCATCGGATCAGCGCGGTGCGCCGGCCGCAGCGCGCCGGCCGCGGTGGCCATTGGAGGGTGAACCAACGGCAAAAAGGAAGACCTTTCTCTCTGTCTCTCTCTCTCTCACTGTCCACTCTGCCTGTCAAAAAATAAAAAAATAAAAAAAAAATAAAAAAAAAAAGAAACAGGAACAGGCATTGTGGCCAGCGGTTACTCTGCTGCTTACAATGGCGACATCCCCTGTCTTAGCATTGGTTTGAACTCTGCTTGCAATTCAACTCCCTGTTAATGTGTGTGGAAAGGCAGTGGGAAATGGACTAGTACTTGGGCCCCTGCCACCATTTGGGTGACCAGATGGAGTCGTTCGGCACTTCCGGCTTAGGCCTGGACCATCTCAGTCATTGTGGTCATTTGGAAAGTGAACCAAAACATGGAAGACATCTCTTGCTCTTTCTCTTCTTACCTGCAATCGATTAAAAAAAAAAAAAAAAAAAAAAAAGGCAGAACAGCCATAACTTGGCATTCTGATATGTGACGCTAGTGTCACAAGTGGTGGCTTAAAACCACTGTGCCATGCTAGTCCCCCAAATTCCATTTTAAGGTTGATGGAAAGCAAACCATGCAGATATTCCTCAGATGATCAGATATGTATGACTAACAGTATTGTGAGACAGACTACCAATGCCCTCATATGTCAAGTTAACCTTGCACCACATTAGATTGGTTCATACTCCTTTTTCACGTGGGCTCCAAAGAACCACAAAGGAAAATCCCAGCTAGGCACACTCTCAACCACCTACCTTCTTAAATGCTCCTGTTCACTAGTGTCCAAAGCTCTCAGGTTTCGGGCATAAAGGACAACGATGTCACTGTGCTTGGCTTTCTTATTGCACTAAAGAGCCCAATGGGACTAATTAGTATGATTGTAGGAATTGACTTAACATGCTGGGTCCTTAGCTGTGGTCCTTACCTGGGACATTTTCGTGCTTGTCCTTGAGCCACTTAGAAATGCACTTATAACCAAAGAGGTGCCCACAGCGTAATGCTGTCAGCCGGTGTTCCCCAGCGTTTGTCCACTGTTCCAAACATATTGCAAGTGTCTCCTTCTTATCATCAACAGAAGTAGAAGGTACAAGAGGGCTGGATCCATTGGGAGCCTGCTGACAGAAAGCAGATATACCCAAGACAGAGAAACAAAATCAGTCCTGAAAGGACTACAATTCTATCAAACTAAAATGTATACAAAAATTATACAAATCTACTGAAAGGCAATAGGAAAACAACACCCATGACTCACTCATCATCCTTCAGAATGAATCTGGCAAAATTTAATACAAGCCATGAAAATATTACTCTTTTCTGATCTTAAGAATTCTTACATTACTTTTATCATTCATATGAATAAAAAGCAGCTATCTGTCCAAAGATACAAAAAACAAACAAAGAAAACCCTAGTACTATCAAGAACAACAAGGAACTGTAGGTGTGTACATATTTAAAAATTACATCATTAGGCCGGCGCCGCGGCTCACTAGGCTAATCCTCCGCCTTGCGGCGCCGGCACACCGGTTCTAGTCCCGGTCGGGGCGCCGGATTCTGTCCCGGTGCCCCTCTTCCAGGCCAGCTCTCTGCTGTGGCCAGGGAGTGCAGTGGAGGATGGCCCAGGTGCTTGGGCCCTGCACCCATGGAGACCAGGAGAAGCACCTGGCTCCTGGCTCCTGCCATCGGATCACGCGGTGCGCCGGCCGCGGCGGCCATTGGAGGGTGAACCAACGGCAAAGGAAGACCTTTCTCTCTGCTCTCTCTCACTGTCCACTCTGCCTGTCAAAAATAAAAAAAAAAAATAAAAAAAAAAAATTACATTCATTATAACTCAGGCTGTATTATTTAGCTCATGTGGGTCAAAGGAAAAAAAAATCCAGTGGAATAGAGAGGATATAACAGTTTACCTTACATATACACACACAAACATGCAAAATAATGTTCATTTTTAATTAAAAAACACAAATTAAGACAGACTATTTTCCATCTATTAAAATTGGTAGAACCGATGACACCAAGCAGTAGTGAGGGTGATGGAGAAATAGTAAGTTTACACAATGCTGTCACAAAAGTGGCACGATTTGATGGTGATTTAGTATTGTCTACCAAAATTAAAACACTCCTATTTCCCTTTGACTTAGGAATCTCTCGCTAGAATATCCCATGGTTACAGTCACAAAATTTGCTAAGGCAACTGTAAACAATGTTTAGTGCAGCAAAATTTTATCAAGGTGAGAAAAATGAAACCAACACGATGTTCATCAGGAAAAGAATTAACTAAAAATTTGGGAAAAAAAGACGTAGCAAAGTATAAAGAATCCTGTGTAAAATATAATAACGCAAAATAATATACA